TACGGCTCGTTTTTTTGTACATATTTAAAACTAACAGACAAAGATGCCGATGAATGTATAGGGTATGTTAGTAGTAAATGTAATGGAAATGTGAAGAAAAAAAAAAGGAAGACGAAAAGATAACTTGCCACCAGTTCATAATGAGATCACTTGCTACATGACGCCAAAAAGCAAAAAAATATTTTGTTTTACACTTGCCATAATGGCATTCGTTACTGGTGGCGCTGATTGACATTTGTCAAAACTGTTTATTGGGCGAATTGTTGAATAAGTTCTACACTGTAAAAACATGTTACGAGTAACTTATTTAATAAATTGTATACGATGGACCGTGCTTGGCGAACAAGATGGCGACAGTTCATCAACAACCAGAAACTAACGTCGTCTTTCTCTTTCTTGCAGCAAGGCTGTGCCGGCTGTTGTGTATCATAACCCCCCGGTGGTAGAAGCACCATCTCGGTGCTTGAGCAACTGGGATGCGGTAGAAGGAGGGTGATAGGGCTTGAGTCGAGCTATGTGCACGATGTCACTCGAAGGTGACGATGATGACGTTGAATCGGCTGGAATGATCTCGTATGTAACATCAGTCACTTGGCGAACGACGCCGTATGGTTCAGTGTAGCGTAACAGCAGTTTTTCAGAAAGCCCTACACGCCGAGTGGGGGACCAGAGGAAGACAAGGGAACGCGGTGAAAAGTGCATGTTTCGATGATGGGAATCGTAGAGCTGTCTTTGGTGCTCCAGTGATGCCTGCAGGTGGCTGCGGGTGAGTTGGCGTGCGTGGTCGGCTCGCGCGATGGCTTCGCCGGCATACTCAGTGACCGAGGGCAGCAAGGTGTCAAAGGTTAGGGCAGGTTCTCGGCCGTATAGAAGATAGAATGGCGAATAGCCGGCAGTGTCGTGACGTGAAGAATTATATGCCAACGTCACAAATGGCAAACGAACGTCCCAGTCCTGGTGGTCGGCCGCTACGTATTTAGAAAGCATGTCGGTTATGGTGCGGTTGAGGCGCTCAGTAAGACCGTTCGTTTGCGGATGGTACGAAGTGGAAAACTTGTGCTTGGCAGAGCAAGAGCGCCGGATTTCATCAACGACAGCTGATAGGAAGGTCCAGCCCCGGTCAGTGAGAAGTTGGCGTGGAGCTCCGTGTACTAAAATAATATCATATACCAAAAAGCCCGCCACATCGGATGCGCAACTCGTCGGAAGTGCTCGTGTGATAGCGTACCGTGTCGCATAGTCAGTGGCGACAGCGATCCATTTGTTGCCTGAGCTGGAGATCGGGAATGGGCCAAGCAAGTCGAGGCCAACTCGAAAAAAAAAGGTTCAGTGGGAATGTCGATCGGCTGAAGGAATCGAGCTGGTAGGGAGGATGGCTTTTTGCGGCGCTTGCAGGGCTCACGAGCGGTGACTTAGCGTCGAACAAAACGGGTAAGACCAGGCCAAAAGAAACGACGACGTACACGGTCGTATGTGCGAGAGACGCTCAAGTGGCCCGCCAAAAAAGCGTCATGAAGTTGGTTGAGGACAGTCGAACGAAGATGTGCTGGTATGACGGGGAGCAAGTCATGGCCATATGGATTGAGGTTACGGCGATACAGGATCCCGTCTTTGACCAGGAACATCTGTAGAGATGCGTCGCGAGGCATTGACTCAAGCTTGTCAATGATGGTTCACAGGGAAGCATCCCGGCGTTGTTCGTGGCCAAGGTTGAGTAGCTGCGTTACAGACAGAAGGTCTGGAAAGGTGTCAGTATGGGCAGCTTCTTCCACAGGGTAGCGTGATAAACAATCCGCATCTTGATGCGACCGCTCTGTTTTGTACGTTACGGTGAACGTGTATTCTTGTAAACGTAGCGACCGACGAGCGAGGCGTACTGTGGTATCCTTGAGTGAGGCCAGCCAGCAGAGCGCGTGGTGGTCGGTGACTACCCGGAATGGACGCCCGTATAAGTATGGGCGAAACTTGGCGACTGCCCACACAAGGACGAGACACTCATGTTCCGTGATTGAATAGTTGCGCTCAGCGGTAGATAGCAGTCGGCTTGCAGATGCTATAACGCGGTCATGTGCGCGTTGGTGTTGCAATAGCATTGCCCATATGCCATGCCCACTAGCGTCAGTGCGAACCTCGGTTGGAGCTGATGGATCGAAATGAGCTAAAATCGGCGGTGTTGTAAGGAGCGTCGTGAGCTGGGAAAAAGATGAGGCTTGATCAGTGCCCCAGAAAAACGGGGTGTCCTTCTTCAGGAGGTTTGTGAGTGGGCGTGCAATGATCGCGAAGTCCTTAACAAACCGTCGAAAGTAAGAGCACAAGCCCACAAAACTGCGAACGTCCTTTGTTGACTTTGGAACAGGAAAGTCCGTGACGGCGCGAATTTTCTCGGGATCCGGGCGGACTCCTGCGGCATCGACGAGGTGGCCAAGTACGGTTATTTGACGACGAGCGAAGTGGCATTTCGTAGAGATCAATTGAAGTCCGGTTCGACGAAAAACTTCAAGAATCGCCGATAAACTGTCGAGATGCATCACTCTAAGCCAAAAGGGAGCAACAGGGGTATAGGGGTTGCTCCTTTCAGGGAGCAATTGCATTGCCACTCCCATTACTCCCCTAAAAGGAGTAACAGCAGAGGGAGTAACCGTTGCTCTCCTTCCAGTTCCTCCTTCGGAGGATGAACAGTTACTCCTTCCAGTTCCTCCCTGCGGACCAACAGTTACTCCCACCAGTTGCTCCCTGCGGACCAACCATTACTCCCACCAGTTGCTCTTTTAAGAGCAACAGTTACTCTTTACCGTTCCTCCCACGTGTTCGCAGTTACTCTCTGAAAACCAACTGCACATGCTTCCAGTTAGTCCTTGGGGAAATGACTATTTATCTCGAGTATGCTTGTCACACGCTTAACACATGGCGAGAGCTCCTTGGAAGAGCACTGCTTGGGTGCTTCTAACACAAAAAGTGGACAATATTGAAAGGAAAATAAATGCTTTATTGTTCTTTTTATGAGGCGACGTGTGAGCACACGTAAAAGTAGACTTCGCCACACCACAGCCAGCACTAAACAAACACCATAATACACCAAAGGTTTTCTGCGTCATCCGTGGAAAAACAATCTTGAATTTCTAGCATAGGGCAGTCTGTGTCATCATTGGTGAGAGAAGGGCAACTTCTCCAATGCTGAAGGACTCAAGTTTCGCTGCTGGTGTTTCCATCAGGCTAGCACAGCGGAATGTCACCACAGGCATATGTGAAGCATCTCATTGCTGCAAGAAAAAAAATAGAAGTGTGAGGTTGAACATGCCAGAATCAATACATAACAATGAGTCACACACACTGCAGGAGCGGTTACATTCTAGGATGTCTACTGCAAAACGAAATGTGAAAAAAAGGAAGGTTTGGCCAAACGTTACTTGGCAAGCCATTTAAATGCTGATGTGGTAGACTCTTTTCACATGATGTCTCAGACAGCAATATTCTGGAAGAAAATGTGCAGCACCTCAACAAGGCATATTTTTAGCAGTTAAAGATACCCTTAGATTGAGTTAACTTGTTTCCTATACACAGCTGAGTGACATTTCTATGAGCCCATTCACCAATGGGCATTCTAAGTGAGATCATGTGTGTGGCAAATAACACGTACCGTCCGCTCATGTTAAAATACTTATTTAGCTCGTGCACATAGTTGCTCTCCATTCTACTGTTCTATCATACGCTGCTGCGTCTTGAATTGTGCAATACCTGTAGGCACAAGCCAAGCATGCAAAGCCTGCTTGAAAGCGACCATTTGCAGAGGCTACATGATAATCTTCTGTATATTTCTTTGTACCTGACGCAAACGGCTGGACAAAACTATAGACAAATAAATGTAGACCGTGCTACCTTCAAAAAGTGCTTTAAATTTAGTAAACTAGGGTGCATTTGTTCACTCGGTTGACGAGTCACAGCCACGAGATATGTAAACGAAGCAATATATCTGAAGGCATGCACAGATATTCTGATTCTTTGTTTGACAGTGTCACAGATAGCTTGCCAATACATATATATCTGAGAGCAACAAGATGTGAAGCTTTTATTAGTTCAACGTCTTGTTGGTTCACAGCCAAACAGGTCACTGCTCTGTTGGACAAATTGGAATAAGCGCACCGTGGTTTCCAAAAAAAGCGTTATTAGTAGTTAGCTCCCGGTGTGAATGTCTGCCTATTTATTTTGTACTGCCTTCTACATGTGCCACAAAGACATTTGTTGAGGATGTGCTACCAGTCAAGCCAAGATCGCATACTTGGTCAATGTGATGGAAATACAAACATTAGAAACACTGTTACCTCTAGTAAGAGCATAACACTTCAGGATCTTGGAACAGCAAGGAGGTGCACAAGAAAGTTGAGCACACTCTTGCAGAACTTTGAAAGCGAATTTTTCAGAGTGGGGGAGGTCAACATGCTGTGGCACTTTTAAACCCATGAAACATCTGCAGAAAACAGGGTAAAGTCAAGTCAAGAAACGCTGTTATGAAGGCCTGCGCATGGGCAGCTTTGTGAATCTAGGCCCAAGTGTTATGCTTTGTGCAAGCCGAAATCCATGTAAATAGGGAAAGCGTACTTTTAGGAGCACCAGCGTAAACAAATCCTGGCAGTTGGCTTTCTAGTACAAACAGCAATCTCTACAATGAAAACATAAACATTTTATCTTGAGTAATGCTGCACGCACGACGTCGTGAGCGCAGACCGGAAAAGGCTGCACGCACGACGCGGCATAGTAGCGACATCTAGCGGGTGACGACGGTGACGATGCTACTAGCACATGACTAGCACGTGGCGGCCCGAAACGCCACCGACGCCACGCCGGCCCCACTCACGCGTAGTCAACGCAGCTGTGTCAGTAGTGGTTGTGCGCAAACCGCGCAGACCCCCTCGGCGGCGTTTATCACTCGTCTTTCACGCGCGTGCCTGCGGTCTCTGTGGCGGTGCGCGTTAAGGAGCAGGCAGCGTGCGAGTTTCGAAGACATGGACGAAGGCGCGAAGTTCGACAGCTTCGTCGAGTTTGACCGAGCATTCAGAGATTTTCAAGTGACTACGAACACTCTTTTTGTCACAAAGGCAAGCAAGACTGTGGACATTGTGAACTCCCGGCTTTCTGCCGGTCTAACTAAGTTCCATGCAAAGTTGAAATTTGCGAACATAACCTATGCTTGCAAGCACGGTGGTGCCGTGAGAAAGACGGGGAGTGGAATTCGTCCGCAACAAAGGTAAGCGCTTCCACTCTCGCCTTGAATGAAGGTGCCCCATTCGCAGAGCGTGAGCTTTGGAGCTGAAAAACTTCTCTCTTCTTCTAGGACTATGAAGAAGGGCTGCCCAGCCAAAATTATTGTAGCGGCGCGCCGGGCCAGCCAACAGCTAGAAGTCACGGCTGTCAACCTCGAGCACAACCACGAGGTCAGCCCGGAAACATATAAGGCGTACTCGGAGTGTCGCCAGCTGAACGAGGAGGAGGTGAACTTCGTTAGGCCCCTAATAGAGGTGAATGTCCGTCCTAGCCTCATCGTGGAGAAGCTGAAACAGGAAACTGGTAAGAAAAGTTTTTTTTCTTGCGAGATTAGTCGTTTAATCGACTTCTTTATTTTGTTTATGCAGGGAAAGCAGTAATCGCCAAAGACATACACAACCTGAAGTGTGCGCGGCGAGGCCAGGATGAGGCGACTCAGTTAATGGAGGAGCTGAACTACTGCAAAGCGAAATATGGCGCAAAAGTACTTCCCATCACAGATGAAAACAAGGAATTGCAGATCCTGTTCTTCCAGACCCCACACATGCAGCAGGCATTCAAGTGCTTCCCAGAAGTCCTCCTCCTTGATGCAACATACTGCACGAACAAGCTGCGCATGCCTCTTTTCGTAATGGTCGTATAAGATGGGTCCGGCTTGAGTCATGTTGTCGCGTATGCATTTGTGGCATCTGAACAGCAACATGTAGTTACTAGTCTTTTAGAGATCTTTGTCCAAGAAAACTCTGCAGCAACGAATACAAAAGTTGTGGTCATAGACAAGGATTTCACTGAAGTGAACGCTGTCAAAGCAGCCTTCCCAGGTTCCCCAGCAGTGCAACTGTGTGAGTTTCACGTGAAGAAGGCCTTCCAAACAGCTGCTGCACAGCTCGGAAAGTCACCTGATGAACGCAAGCGTTTGTTGGGTAGCTTTAGTGAAATGCTGCATGCTCCCACGCCACAGAAATATGATGACGCAAAAGCTGAATTTGAAAGGTATGCCTGTTCAGAAGCCATCAGCTATTTCGCAAAAAACTGGAGCAACATCACAGAGATGTGGGTACGGTACCATTGTGATCAAGAGTTCACAGGAGGCAACAATACCAACAACCGGGTTGAATCTCACAATGCGAAGATAAAAAATGTTCTCTCGTCATCCTCAAAACTTCATGAAGCTCTTCGTGGCCTCTTAAAGTTGTCTACAAGCTTGTCCCAAGAAGCACATCACAAGACCATACTTCTGAAGACCTGCGACTTCTACAGCTATGAAAGGCATGAAGGTGTGCAGGAGCAGTGTCGCAAAGTTCTCACACCGTATGCCTGCAAGCTATTGAGCAATGAGCTGGTGAAGCTTCGTGATGAACCTCGAGAGGTTAAAAAGTTGTCGCCACGTACCTATGCCGTGTTTTCTACATCTACTGATGTCTGGCATGATGTTTTCTTCGAAAAACATTCATGCAGCTGTACCACGTATAAAAAGATGAAGCTGCTTTGCCGGCACATGCTCGCAGTTTGTGCTAGATTTGACGTCAAACCATGTCTGAAGGAAGCTGTCAGCAGACGATGGTTCAAATCATATCAGCTGGAGTTCCTTGGAACCACTGCAGATAACCATGAACAAGATGACATTGACTCTGAGTCCACGACGGAGAGCTCTGCAGAAATACAAGCTCTGTCAATGCCAGGGCCTTCCTTTCAGAAAATGAACAGAAATCAGTGTTTCAATTATGCAATGCGGACGCTTAAGGCTATCGCAGACAATTTGGCTGACTGCCAGCCAGACGTCTTTGCAGCAAGACTCGGTTTCTTAGAGTCTGTGAACGCAGCCTGGCTAAGGCAAGAAGATGTGGCACTGAGCCATCATGAAAAGGACAAGGTGCAAGCACCAGAAAATTCTACTGCACAAGATGTTGGCTCGGCAGATATGTTGCATGCTGATGAAGAGCAGCAGCTGCTCGACAACAATCAGCCCAGTGGATCTATCGAGCCCTTGATCAGCAGCAGTGAGACTGGAAGCTCTACAAACCAAGAGAGCACCACATCCAGCTTTGTAAGCGAGATAAGACTTCCCCATGTCAAGAGCCGAGGCCGTCCAAATAAGCGGGTGCTGCAGAACAGGTTCAAGCGACCAAGAGAACAAGATGATGACAGACCTGTGCCATTTAGGCAGCTTACTGAGAAGTCCCAAACAAAATGTAAGGAAGATTGAATTATGCTATTTGATACTTGCGTTTATTCTAATAACTGCACTTGCATAAACTTTGATTTCTTGCATTATGCTTTTTTTCCTAGTGATATTGTCAGGCCTGATTGATGACAGCCTGTGCCAAAGGGTGGTGGATGGTGCGTACATCCTACTGGAGGATGACCTGGAAGTTCGTCCCGAAGCCCTCCTCAGTGCTCTGCTGGACTGCAGAGTATCCCTGCCAAAACTTAAAAAATACTTCAGTCCTGACGCATGGGCTCTTTTAAGTTCCTCGGGTAAATGATTCTAACATCTTCAATGCCTTTATGCTTTAAAAATGTGTAATTATTTTTTTTCTTCACAGTTGCTATAAAGAAGGAGAAAGAACTGTGGAGTTGTGGCCTGTGCAAGCAGATCGACGATGGGCAAACTAGCATGGTTTGCTGTGACCAATGCCTAGAGTGGTTTCACTGGTGAGTGCATGCTTTCTTGAAACTTCATTGCTAAGTTTGCAATGGAAAATGTTAAACTGTGTTAAAGAGCAAGTGTTTCTGCCATTTGAATATTTTTTTTCTTCTGGCTAAGGCCCCCTTTCTATAGTTAATGAAAAAACATTGCATTAAAATAATAAAAGAACTATTTCCAACAGTTTCAAGATAAACAGTTGCAAAACTTGTTTTATAATGAATTTCATCATAAAGGACCACATCTCTTGCTGTCAATTTGCATCAAAATTAGTAATGGTCCTGGACTTCATTAATTTAATTTAGCATAGTAAGTTATCGATAATTTTCACAGTAAATAAATTTTCATTTCAGGCCATGTGCTGGGATCACCAAAGAAGCTGCGAGGAAGTTGTGGTACTGCACTCAGTGCACTTCAAAGAGTTTCACAGCTGCCTTTGATTGAGTTAATATCGCCTGACAAATACCATGTCCCTGGGGCACTTCTGTTAACTCCAAAGCAATCAAAATCAATAAAATTATTTGCCCCTCTCTGTTTTGTTGAATTTTAGAGGAAGATGCCACAGTATCCTTGGTGGTTTTGACATCTAATATATTCTAGCTTTGTTAATTACTTTGAGAGTCCAAAGTGGTCCGCATAGCAGAATGATGCAAAAGCGCACAAGCAGTCCTAGCTTGCAAGAAATAAGCCAAAAAGACAAAAAAAAAGATTTTCTTTTCACGGCGTCTGGTTTCATTACCAAGCGATTTCGACTGCAGACGTTGCCTCGCGGTTAACACTTAAAAACATTTAACGTTTCAGTTGCTTGTCTGCCGAAGAGTCCGTTTGCGTGCGCTGTTGGAAGCAGTTAACCGTGGCTATCAATCGGAGCCTGTTGTCGAAGGGCGTTTCATCTCCACCCTTGTAGCCAGAGCCGGGGGTCGTTGACCCCCCTGCCCCTGGCTACGCACCTGCTTGAGAGATGATGACTGGCACGGCCGCCTGGATCGGGCGCGCGCGCCCCCGATCCAGGCGGCCGTGTGACTGGGATCTAATTTGTTTTTCGCGCCGCTTGGGGACATATTCACACAGTTCAAATGCCGTGAGAACTTAGCTCCAGTCGTACACGAAATGCATGGATACGTGCTGAGGTTGGGCGTGGAAAAAAAAAAAGCCGTGGCGCCGCGTCAAGAGAACTTTGCGTGTGCTTTTGTAGCGTGTGCTGAGGTGCAGGCGATGCTAACTGCTTGGTCTAATCGCTCAGTGGTCTGGTGCATGCGCCCGCTTTTCGTTTTAACGCGTTTTCTTTTCTCGATTTTTTTTTATCGTCAAAGTTGTAAAACTCGTCGAAGGCACAACGTGGCCATAAACGACGTTTATGGCCACGTTGTTTATCGACGACGACGATAAACGACGTTTATCGGCCTGCCAGAGCGGATAACCGGGCGAGTCCTCGCTGCTAATTTCTATCCTTTCGCGCAGCGCTGTGCGCATCTCGACGGCCAGGACCATACGACAATATTCTAGTACACTCTAAACCGCCATGAGCAAGATGTCGAGAATTTACCGCGTCCATGACTGTGCCGCACCGCGCTTTGCGGATCTCAAAGGCCACATTAATGCCACGCTGATCACACTAAGTCGCGTCGTCACCCGCTAGATGTCGCTACTATGCCGCGTCGTGCGTGCAGCCTTTTCCGGTCTGCGCTCACGACGTCGTGCGTGCAGCATTACACGGTAACAGCGTGAGCACACACACAGGCCAGCGGAGCCATGTCAAATTGTGAGTGCCAGTGTAACCATGTGGCATGATAAACTATTTTCTGGCCAACACATGCACAGTTTGCCCCTAAAAAGCGATGCTTTCACATACGTAGTACAAAAAGTCTGCACTTACCAAAATTCACTTGCTTTCTGTACTTTAGCATCGTTGGGAGCATCTTTATCTGCAGTATAACCAAATTTGTGTCATATCCCTGAAAAAAAGTAGTAAAAGACATGCATCAAATATTGTTTCATTTGGTAGCAGTGAAGTCAGGTTAAGAACAGCCAAGTGGGAATCAGCCTAATTATGTGCATGCGGCAAATCCCAAACGGCGTTATTGAGGTTGTCGAAATTTTCGTCGATTGGTATTAACGTCGATATGTGAATTCAACGGCATGCCAAGTTTTCACAGCGCATAAAGATTTCATGATGCAGAATAATGACAACGCTAACGAGAACATACAGCATTTACGATTGTCTTTTACAATATTCAGTTTTGCGAAGGTTTTGCATGACTAAAGAAATCTGAAAGATTTGGGTCATTCCTCCTCTAATTGTTCTGTCCATATGTAAATTGCTCGCTTGATGGTGCGCTTTTAAAATAGTACGTTAAGCGCAGAGGTGAAGCAAGTGATGCAGTGGCGTGGGCAGATTTTTTTTTTTAGGCGTGCGGGGAGGGGGGGGGGGAGGGTCCGCTTATCTGAATTGGAGGCTGGGCAAGCGAATATGGTCGTCATTATGGGCTCCCTACGACCGGCCTAAAAAATTCTGTGCGCAACCGCCACGCCAGTGAAGTGATGCGACAATGATTTGTTCGCTTACTGATTTACATACACTTTACAGCTCTAAAAAATGCGGCCCAAGGCCCCAACACTCAGCCGTTAACGTTACATAAAGCCAATGGTAGAAAAGTGCCAGTATGAAGGCAGCTACAACCCCGCCCCAATGTTTTTTCAAGCGAGGTAGTGTTGCGGAAATGAACTTTTAACTGCAAAAGTACACTGGCACTGCAGTGGTGACAGGGGAAGCAAGAGGGTATGCAGGCGGTAATAATAGAGGTAATTTAGTCCGATACGGCTAGCAATGGATACGGTAAATAAGAAAGATCAAATCATTTCTCTTTTAATAGCGCAACCACTCAACAATGTATTGTAAGAGCATTAAATGTTGCTGGAAATGCCACTCACCTGCACGCTGATGCATGCACAGTCCTTTGTCCGACGAGCGAACAGGCTTGCAGATAGCTGAAGACGTGTTTACGATGTCTTTGTTCCACCCGGCAGCAAAATCCACAACAACTTCGCGCTCCATAAAGATAAATATACACTAAGCTTTATCACGAATAAGTAGAAACGTAAATCTGCGACACACACACACGATCAAAACATAGCCCACAAGCTCGCGTGTCCATGTGCTCGCCGACCACAGATCATATGAATATGAGTAGTGCGAACGCGAACCTAGTTGCGCCGGAAAAAAAAACGCCGAGCAGTGGCAGCACAGGCGTCAGCGCAATGCTTTCAGTGTGTTCTCCTAATACATTTATAAAAAAACTGAGGTACACTAAAACTCATAATTAAATATGAAAAATTGAGTGTAATTTTTATTTAGTGTTAGTAAACATAAACACTGAATAAAAATTACTTTGTAAATTACATCGCTTACTACACTAGCGCCACTTTTGTCGTGCGGGCGCAAATGGCGCAGATTTGTCATTCTGCCCTCAAACTACACGGTGAAGCGTGCTACTAAGTGTACGGCTGATGAAAAGCGTGTCCGGGTCCGCTTTTTTTTTTCTTCTCCGATATATCTGGGGAGGGGGGGTCCTTATGCACGTGTTTCGGTGCTTGATCGACTTTTACGCCCTTCCTTCGCGGACGAACGGCGTGTCTAGGCTTTTTTTTTTATCGTTGTTTTGCACGTGTTTCGGCGTTCGGTCCGCTTTGACTGTTGCTTTGACGTACCAACTCTCCATTCTGCTGCTGCGTGTGTTAGGTACTTGCCGTAGCTGTATTCTCAGGCCTTCTGTGTTCCGCCAGCGCTGCTATCTTATTATCTGCGGATGCTAAAATAAATCACTGTTTTGGTTTGGTGAAGTTTGGCACACAGAACAAATAATAATCTGGCCCATGAATGCCAATGTGGGCGGCATGCATATTTGTGTGTGGTGTCCTGCCGGGGAGTAACCGTTGCGTGACGAGAGCATTTACAGCGGTTCCTCCTTCCGTTGCTCCCTTACAAACTTAAGATGTATACAGTTGCTCCCCCATTCTCGAACAAGTCGGCCATCTTGTTCCGCTTGGTCTTTTCAGAGAGTAACAGTCGGTCTGAAGGAGTAAAAACAGCCGTTGCTCCCATTTCGGCCGTTTTTGGCTTAGAGTGTGGGAGTCGAATGCGGGCGAGAAAACAATAACGTTGTCTAAATAACATAAGCAGGTTGACCACTTAAACCCTTGGAGCAATGAGTCTATCATTCTTTCGAATGTGGCCGGCGCATTACAGAGACCGAAGGGCAAAACTTTGAAGTGATAAAGACGATCAGGAGTGACGAATGCAGTCTTCTCACGGTCCATATCGTCTACAGCAATCTGCCAATAGCCCATTCGAAGGTCGATAGTGGAAAAATACGTAACACCGTAAATGCAGTCTAAGGCATCGTCGATTCTAGGCCACGGGTAAACATCTTTCTTCGTAATTTTGTTGAGATGCCGATAGTCTACACAAAAGCGCCATGTTCCATCCTTCTTTCTGATCAGGACGCCAGGAGAAGCCCAGGGGCTACAGGAAGGCTCGTTTATGTCTTTTGCAAGCATATTTTTGACTTTTTGTTGTATGACTGTACGCTCGGACGCGGAAACACGGTATGGGCGTCGGTGAATGGGACTCGCGTCATCAGTATTGATGCGATGAGTAACAACACTCGTTTGGCTTAAGGCCGTGCAGGCGAAGTCGAAAATGTCACATATGACTCCAGGACGTGACGAAGGGCTTCCGCTTGTTCAGGAGCGAGGTCTTATGGTACCATGTAGCCAACGTCGACGCCCGAGAAACGTGATTGAGTTGGTTCATGGTCTGGGTGCAGCAATCATCCGCTCTCAAGGGCTGAACCGTATAGTTTTGTAGGGCAGTAATTTCGGCCAGTGACATAATTTGGGGAAGAATTTGGGCAGTGAGGGCAAAATTGACAATAAGAAGGCATGTGCGGTTTTCAACAATTGTGCGGTTTTCAACAATTGCGAATAGGTCGGAGAGGCAGGATGGCGTTGTGGGGGCGAACAAGATTGACGGCGAGCAGGGGATGGTGAGCGGGCGTAGCGAGGTCTCGTGAGAGTGCGGCAGAATCAGAGGATGTGGTCGGCATAGGGGAATCAAAATAAAATGCTGAGGACGACTGGTGGACAGAAGTGGCCTGGTTAATAGACCCATAGTGTGCCGGCGGAGCCTAGTGAGTGCGGCAGTGGCGAGCAATATGAGCGACACGTCGGCAGATGAAGCATATAGGCTTGTCATCCAGTGTACGCCATTCGGACAAATTGCGCTGTCGAGAGTAGTTGGAACCAAATCGAGGAGCGGAGGGACGACGATAAAAAGGCTCGGCAAAGTAGACTGGTTGAATGGGGTGTAGGCCGACGTTCGATAATTCTTGACGAACGACGGCTTGTATCAGTGAGATAGTGGTTGGAAGGATCAGGTGTTGGAA